GTGTGTTCGGAAAAACCGTTTTCCGGGGTAGTTTTTTGGCTTCTTCAACGCCCGCACAAACTTGGGGAACCTTAAACATCTGCCATTAGTTTCATACGCCCTAATCACAAATTCCATCAAAAATGGAGCCTGTATCGCAAACATTCGTATGTTAGACCTTCGGTCATTGTACTATTCTCATCAAAAAGTGGAAAAGGTCTTTTCTGTTCCGAATCACCCCGTGAACCTGCCGGTTTCGGATCGTCATGTACTTCACGGACACCCTGTATCTTCTTTTCAGTGATCTGAGGGGCGGAGTGGGAGGGGGACATCGGGAACTCGCAGTTAGCTGCTCCCCCCCCATATCCCTCGGTTTTTCAAGGAAAATTCGCTATCTCCTTTACTTTCGGAGAATTACGGCGGGGAGGAGGGGAGGGGGGTGACACATCGACAACTCTCGGTTAGCGACTCCCCCCCATTCCCCTGACGGAACCATGCGAGAGTTCGACTTTCCATTTGTTCCAGCAGTGGAGAGTTGGGAGAGAGTTGGAGCCAAATAATAATATAAAATATATTAGATAAATTTTTTTCTCTTTTGTCGGAGAGGGGTGCAGAGGTAGGGGGCGAAGTGGTTAGAGCCATATAATAATATTAATTATTTAGGATAATGTTTTTTTTTGAACAGTGTGTGGGAGGGGGGGAGTTAGAGTTAAATAATAATATTGTTTATTTTTGATAGCTTTTTTTTCTCTTTTGTAGCAGTGGGAGGGGTGGTGGTGAGGGGTTAGAGTTGAATAATAATATTAAGAATTTTTGATAATATTTTTTTTTGGAACAGTGTTTTGGAGGGGGAGGGGGCGAAGGGCTCTCCACTTTTGTAGAGAGTAGAGAGTTGGCCCGGTGATGCACCCGACCCCGATTCTCTACTCTTTCCAAAAGATTATTATTATTATTTGGCTCTAACCCCTTCCCCCCCTCCCCCTCCATCCCTCTGTTCCAAAAAAAAACCTCAAAAATAATTAATATTTTTATTTAAATCTGACCCCTCCCCCCCTCTGCTCCAAAAGAAAAAAACATTATAAAAATAATTAATATTATTATTGAACTCTGACCCCTCCCCCCCTCTGCACCAAAAGAGAAAATTTTTTTATCAAAATTAATTAATAATATAATTTGTTTCTAACTCCTTCGCCCTCTTCTCCTCCGCCCCTCTGTTCCAAAAGAGAAGAAATTTTTATAAGAAATAATTAATAATATTATTTGGCTCTAACCCCTCCGCCCCTTTCCTTCAAGAAAGAAAGAAATGTTATCAAAAATATTTAATGTTATTATTCGGCTTCAACCCTTAAAAATGGACGTTTTCACCCTTTCCCAAACGAAATAAAAATTATTAATGACTCTCCCAAACAATTCCTAGTAAATGTATATAATTTTGGTCTCCTTCTGTAATACTCGTTCGCCGAATAAACGTATTTAAAAATTAATATAAATAGTCGTATAGGCGGTAAAAAATGGAAAATTTTGATGCTTAATAAATTAAAATCGGACACATAGAACTCGAATTATTGGAAAAAACCAAAAAATGTGAAAAAAATCACATCTCCGAACTGGGCTGCCGAAAAAATGTGAAAAAATTTCAGAGATAATTTTTCAATCTCCCCGATCGTAGAAAAAATCACCATTAATTTCCAAGAGGGTGAGGGTCAGCGATTGACTCATTTGACGTGGAATACCTCATATGAAACGCATACTGTAATTCAGAAAATTGAGATGGATTTCACGTTTCTACTCCCAGCATGAAATTTTTTCGTTAATACTTCTGTTCATTTCAAACGAAAAGAAAACAATCGAAGTCAAAGTTCATGGAAGTGATTAGTTTGGCAGGTCAGTAGTACAGCACGTGTTAATGGCTCGCCTTACACAGTACCACAACAAAGTACGCTTTATCGATCGTAAACGTATGTAAGTCGTTTAGAGGAAACTTACATGAGTGAGACATACATTCTATCGTGAATGGATACCTGTTTTCTCACTGTCGTTGTCAATTACTGGTGTATCGTTGCTCAGTATCTCAATTTGGTATTAATTGAATTTGCTAAATATATAATGTAGTTTTACAATTGCGCATAACAAGGAGCAAGGACAATGGAGCCTCAATTTCTTATCCGTTATCATTAAATACAATGATATATAATGAGCACCAAACAGTTGGGTGAGGTATCTCAATTTTTTTTCCTTTTTCGCTCGTACTTTCGCATCTTTAACAAGATACCCGCGGGCAAGCGTAGAGAAGTGGTTGGTGGTGGTGTTGTGTAGGTTTTGGTCGTTGACGAAGGGGAGAGAGATTTTATACATATATAGATACATGGTGCTTGCAAAGGGGCGGCTGCGTGCTCAACAACCTACTGGCGCTCGCGCACTGTAGTTCCTCGTCTATCCTTGACGCGGGAGCATCTCTTTTCGAAAGTGCGCTCTCTCCTGCATCACCCACTCCTGGGTATGCTGTTTTTAGTCAATCATCATCATCCGACGGAATACCGTGTAGTAGCGGTATAGCAGTGGTGTTAGGGTAACCGAACGTGATTGAACATTTCAACTGGTTAGGTTCTTTGTATATGTTGATTGACAGAAATTCGAGCTGCAGAACTGGAGTGATCCCGATTCGATACATTCGTAATAAAGTTTCGTTGAATTATCTAATAAGAGTGATGATAATTAGTTGTTTATATCTTCATTACGTATTTGCCTGATTCAGGAAGGGATTCTGTTCTGTCAATGCAGAATCGTGAGGATTGGGGAAAATGTTTTTCCCCGAAATATTCAATTACAATTGGTTATTCGAATATCAAAAGTCTCGTGTTGAATTGTAATTACTCTGGATAGAACACATGGGTGAAAAAGTGTTTGTGTAATTGTGACAGCTGAGAATATCTACGATTAAAATTTACCGTAAGCAGTGAATGACATCATGTTGAGTATTTTGAAGAGCTCATAAAATACACAGAACGTCAGCTGTATGATGCTATGATTGAAAATGGAAGACGTTCCCAGAAAATTCTTTTACGAACACTGGAAACTTCAAGTGGAGGCCACATACATCTGCCGAAAATGCGAGTGAGATAATATCTGAGAATGTAAGAGTTATCGCTAAGAACAAGCGATGTCTACCTCTCTTCCCACGCTCGTCTACTTTATCATTTATTTCGGTAAGTTACTCATTATTATTTGTGCCATTTTTCCTGGATGAATCGTTATTTTTACAATCTAAAAATGTTCTCTGATCCTGCAAAAATGGTACAAATCTTCTCGTGTCTTATCGCTTACCGTGGAGGGAAGTCTACGTAAAGTCTCAGATAAGTAAATTTTATGAAAAATTTTCCTCTCGAAAATGGAGAAAGTAAAAATCTGCTGAGAAGAATGAGATCACGTCCCGTCACATTGTGGAGAAAATTGGACGAGCGCAATTTAAGAACCCATTCTTTTTTTGCCTTTCTCGAAAATGGCATTTTGGTTGTCACTTCGCCGTACCAATTCATGCATAAAATTTATGCTGCAAGGAGTAACATGCTTGCATATTTTAAAGTACGGTACTATCATCACAGCTCGGAAACTCTTTATGATAGTGATTTTTATGCAAGCTATCACGCACCTTGGAGCAATCACCATAGGCTTTTCGAAATTTATCACAGTTTGAAAATCTAAATTAGCTTTTGGTCACGCGGGAGGAAAGTAGTTAGAAAGAAGTGAATCATTATCTACTAGAGTAGTCCCCTCAACATAGTGATTCCATCGAGAGGGAATGCGGGAATTATTCAGTTGATAGTGTCATTTTCTTTTTACATGAGGTATAAATGCCCTCTCGCTTTTCGATTCATACATAATGAACAATGCATCAATTATGAATTGAAATAAATTCCGTTTCTAAGTCAGTGAACATCACATATAATGTTCTCTGCAAACAAATTACATATATTTTTCTCCAATACATTCATATATTGATGAATTATTATTGATATCACTATGACATCAAGCAGTTGGATTTACAAATTGAAATCAGTAAAGCAATACATTGATGACTCGATATGGGATAAATAGAGAAGGGAGGGGCTTAATTGACTTTTTCATATCATCAATATGCATTGGAAAGCCAATATAAACGGGCCAAAATTGGTAACATTTCCGAACATGAAAAGCAGAGCTTGAAAATTACGTCAGATAGACGATTGGAATACTCTGCCCAGTCTGTCTTATTACTTGTTTATGTACGTTAAATTCCTTTGTAAATAGTTCCATTCCAATTTTTGCGTTCTTTTAATGCTCATCACTGCTAAAAATGATTAACAGAAAATTCCACATTGAGTTTTATGTGAAAAGTATCACAATATTGAACAGCAGTTCATTTCGATTGGAAGTCGACTGAATTCCTTAGTTAACAATCTGCTAATTTTCTTCCGAATGAATTCCATAAATTTGATTTTGATATCATGTAACAATGAGAGTCACTGCTGATTATGAAAAATTGAGTAGTTATCATATGTAATTTGTAATTCATTCACAATTTTTCTCTATGTAGAATTGAGGTTTCGTAGTGAACTGGAAAAAATGAAGTGTGCTTAAACTCCTCTGAAAGTGGTTACACATCCAAACACTTGATTTTTATTCTGAGTTTAATTCAAAACATACAACATTGGAAATATCCAACACCGTTGTTAATTCACCTGAGGACTGGATAATGACATTAATTTCATCGTAGTTGAATCGGTATTGTAAACTTCTTTCATTTTTTTCAAACACAACAATGATAGGAAGAGTTGATCGCATGCACAGCTTGGATTAATGCGAGTTCAATTGAATTGTTTGATGATAAGATATATTGCTTCCATTGGAAATTTCATTCAGCAGTTAACATTATGAATATGACATGCAAAAAGAACTGAAACGTATCCGGAACCCATGAGAATGAGAGCTGTTCCATTATTTAAAAAAAACCGTTAATTTATACGTCAAAATTATACATGCCTTTGATACCATTTCCCCCATTTTCATCGCGAATTGATGTTTTCCATTGATATTGGAAGTAATTTATGTAGATAATATCTCAATTCCAATTACTGAAAGAAATCTTTGATTCACTGATATTAATTACATGCTGACACATTAGTTAATGATTACCTGCAAGCATATCCGTTGGAATGGAATGCTTATCGCATTAAATTCCTTTGGAGCGAATGAATTAAGTTCGCAGCGGAGTATTAATCATTTTTAGATTTATCGATACGCAGTCAGAATTCACGTACAAATCTATTAAAGGCTGACATGAATGGAATGAACTTTCAGTCAAACAGTATTAGGAGCATAGACCGAAATGGAAACCAAAAATTCGTACTCTGCCCTGAAAGCTGTTTCACATTCCACGGCTCCTATTTTGATACTATTGAAGAATCCTTCTGGGGATCCCGCTACTCCATAAAAAATGATACAACGCGTTTGTCCAATCAAACGCCAATTATACTGTACTTCGGGGTTTTACCCTCTGCATTTTGTATACTGCCAGCTGTGAAATTTAAACATGGGTTGTGATATTATGGAAAACCAGGGGGAACGTTTTTTTCTTGCTTGAAATTACTTATTAGAACAAACCGAAAATTAATTCAGGGATATATGTTTTTTTTTGGCGAAAATTCAAATTTCTTGTCGTCATATCTATGTCCGGACCTCGGAGATAAAGATAATTTGTGAGGTTATCGGTTATATTTGGAATCTCCCTAAAAAACAAAACAAATGTTTTTGTAAAAAAACTGCGCCAAGAAAAAGTTTTGTTTGGTTTTTACTGGAAAATTGAAATATTTGAAAAATACAAAGAAATAAAAACGACATTCAAGCCAGGAATGTTAAATAAATGGGTATAGGACACGATCAAATGTCTATAAAAAAAATAGTTCTAAATAAAAAAAGTATTTTTTAAAAATTCTCTACAAAATGAAAAATCAGTAGGAGCAGGACCAACATCCTTGGCGCGAATCAGTAGATAGAGGATTAGATTGATATAGACAGTGAATAGAAAAAATTCGCGCCAAAAACGTTGGTCCTGCACCTACTGATTTCTTATTTTGTAGAGAATTTTTTAAAAATACTTTCTTTATTTAGAACTATTTTTTTATAGACATCAGATCGTGTCCTATACCCATTTATTTAACATTCCTGACGTGACTTTCGTTTTTATTTCTTTGTGTTTTTCAAAAATTTCAATTTTCTAGTAAAAACCAAACAAAACTTTTTCGTGGCGCAGTTTTTTTACAAAAACATTTGTTTTTGTTTTTTTAGGGAGATTTCACTAATTTTTCCAAAATAAGCGCAGAATTATTTTCATATCATAAGGAAGTTGTTCTTTTCAATTCAACTCATTTGTTTTTTCACAAGATAGAACATCCTTTCAGAACAAACAGTTCTACTCGATATTCATTGTTTTTACCGATTATTGATCATTTATTCAGATTTTAGACTTAGTTTGTTTGTATATCCGGGTATATATATATACCCGGGTATATATACCCGGACTTCGGAGATGAAATTCAGTCTGTGAGGTTATGGTCTATGTTTGAAATCTAGTAGAACAGTCCTTTGCCAAAAATTGTATGATAATCAATGTATGTATGTCATCACTCGAACGAAATATGTATTTTTCTTCGAGTGATAATAGTTTCCAGTTTCGTGGGAACAGTGGTCTGAATGAGGTTACGGTGAGGTGCGAGGAACAAGAAGACACTTTTGTAATTATTTCAACAACATTAGTGATATCTTCAACATAAAAAACGAAAACAAATGTTTTTATAAAAATATCTATCAAGTCAACATTTTTACAAAAATTTTACATCCGAACATTTTGTTCGGTTGTTTCTGAAGGGAAATTAATCCATCTTACCAAAAAATTCAATCCCCATAGAAAATCAAAGAAAAAATTGAATGGGAGAAACAAACTAAGTCTAAAATCTGAATAAATGATCAATAATCGGTAAAAACAATGAATGAATCGGTAAAAAAAATTCTAAGAGAATTCTAAGAGAATTAGAATTTAGACAGAAAAAATTTCCGTTTCAACCAGCCGGGAATCGAACCCAGGTCTCCCAGATACGCGCCGGGCACTCTTACCGACTAAGCTACCGGGAACCACAGAAATTCACTCTTAAATTCACCTCATACACTGCCTATATATATATATATGACGAAAAGAAATACGAATTTTCGAGAAAAAAAATAGAACACTGAATTAATTTTTTGTTTTACTCTAAGAAGTAATTTGAAGTGAGAATAAAATGCGTCTCATGATTCTCCAGAACATCACAACCCACATTTAAATACACTGGTGGCAACACTTCGACGTTGGACGTGAGACTCAATTGGACAGGTGCTGCCAACGCTGTGACTTGATTCTCCGACTTTATAATGCGAATCCCGAGAATGTGAATATCAGCCCGTTGCTATGGGTGTATCTTTTTTACTGTTAACTCAAAAAATACAATAATTACACCGTTGAAAAGCTCATAGGCCTTTTGTATAATGTAACTAAGGACAATTTTCCGATTTATAGTCCCGTTTTTACTATAATGAATGTCAATCACTTAGAGGTAGTGGAGGGGGAAGTTCTGTCATGTATAGATACGCGGTGCCCTCGGTCAGATGTTTTGCACAGTCGGCGTCAAAACTTTTCTTGGCCGATACGCTGCCGCGTATCTCGATCTGACAGAACTATTATTTGTCAAATATTGTGTGATAAACTATTAAATGTCCATGGATAGTAAAATTTGTTTTTCGACGTTCACAAGCATAGCGCAGGCATCAGGACTGAAAGCATTGCAAAACTTATCCACGCTTCGAATACAATTAACTCCGTTAACATTCTGTTGGTCGCGCTATGAGCGGTGCACTGCACTTTTTCCGATTTTTTAAATCACATTGCAGCAAATCCTCAGAAAAATTTGAAAAAATTTGACATCTCATTTTGAAGTGTCTAGAAACCCTATCAATGAAAATATCCCCCAAAAATATCGTAACTAGTTGGAATTGCATATTTTCATTCCGAAACTCCGGGCCGTGTATCGTGTATAAGGCCAATTTTCAGAAAAACTTGGTAACTTTGAGCTTGAATTATGTATTCATTAAGAGTAATACTGAATATAAAAAATCTCATGGGACTTCTTCAAGTATACGAGCTAGATCACTCTTGATTTTTTTCAGATTTTTCCTAGATCTTTCAAATTTATCATTATATCGATTTATGCTAGTGCGACACGGCGCTTACGGCGCGATCAACGGCGTTTGTAACTTTTGCGCGACCAACGGAGTGCTAAATGATTGCATCGATTTTTTCCTTTTTCTATTGAACTTCATGTTGGACTCGATGGAAAATCCATCATACACTGGAAATCGCTTGGTACTCTGTTCGTTGAACAAAGTGCAGAATATGTGCCCAGCGGGAGACAACAGAAATAATTTTAAAATGTATTCATTTTAAAAATTTGAAGATATTTACTCTGTACAACTTTGATCACCATTTTTTTAATTACATTGAAACTTTGCTCTTCAGAGCCGTTTTCTCTTCTACTTCCTTTGTCACCTTCATACTTTGTGTATACACAAAGCAATCTCACTTTGAATTTTTAGTGAACTTTTTGTAAATATTCAACAGGAGTCTTGCTGTCATGTGCTGCTTTGAGGGTATTTTTATAAAAGGAAGAATATTCATTTGTAAAGCAGGCGGATAATATTTGGATTTCAAGCGGAATTGGTTTCTGAAAACCGATAGAAGATGCGGAAAGTAATAATGGTTTTCCATTTTTCAGAGTGATGTTCAATTGGGAGAATCCCATCAATTTGATGTTGAAGTGGGAGATAGGATTCTTAAATCAGAATCTTTATTAATCTTCTTATGCTGAAGAGCCAGGAATCGCCACAAGAAGCACGGGAAAAAGTACCGCGCACTCTTACGGAGGAACGGTGAAATGGAGGGAATTTTATTAGCATTGGAGGCTTAAGAGAAGGAATGGCAAGAGTCATTTATTGGCGACGGAACGAATTCAGTGGCTTTTCATACACGATGAAGGATATCGAAATGTAGACAAAATGATTAACTCAATCAATTTTTCCCCATACTACTAGGTAAATATGGGACATTCCATGTCAACTCAGCCACCCTGGAATTTTTTGGTTCTCAGAATCTGGAATTAGCATGCTCCCAGTCAAGTACTACATAAGTACATACTTTCTCTAAATTTTCGCTCCTTTAACATTAGTTGTTTGGCCAGGACAAATAACAAAACCTCAAATTTTTGAAAAATCATATCTTGCGAACAAATTGGCCGATTTTGATGAATAAAAAAATATTCTTTTCGTTTTTTCATATACTTTTGGAATAAAAATAAGACAGTACCACGAGGAAGAATAATGAGCCATTTTTTAAGTTTTTTGTTATTTAAATCCTTCTGTTATGCAGGGGCCATTCGAAAATCGAATAATTTTTTTTTTCTTCGATGGATAATGATATTACTCAACTTTTTCGGGGGATTTTAAAATGGGATAGCTATATGGAGATGAGAGAAAAATTCTTTTCTCATGAAAAATTAGATTTTTCGAATTTTGTTCCTGAAAAATGACGAATGCCTCATGAAAGGATGAGCGTGCAATTTTTCGGCATAATTTGAAGATGAGATGCATAAGTAGTGATGGATAAAAAACGTTTTTTCTAGAATAAAGTTGGATTTATTGATTATTAACAGCTCTACTTACATAAACGACAATGAGAATTCGCAAAGTACCAAATATTTGATGAGTTTTTAGATCAACATGGAGTATATGTCTGTTTTAAGATTGTAATTTGAAAAATAAACATTAAATTAAAAAGAAAAAGCAATTTGAAATCGAACTTTTCTGAATCACAATGGCTATCTTAATGTACGTCATCCATTTCGTTCCTTCGCCTTTGGAAAAACTTCTCCCATAGTCGCAGAAGAATAACTCTTAATCAATAATTCCTTTTCTCCCACAGGAATGAAGCCGGGATTTTTTTGTATCGCTGGAATCGCCTTTGCACTGTCGAATCTTGTTTTCAACCCTTCTTTCATATCCTCCTGTTCCTGTTTAGTGTCGAAAAACACATCGAGATCCTTGAAATTATTCTTTGCCCACTAGAACAGACCATCTGGAGTGAGAATAGGTTCACCATTAGTAATTTGCGGACTTCTTCGTCTTGCTTCCCTCTTCAAGACTGCGCCTACGCCATCGCATGCCATCTTTCCATGCACGGTCGCATGATAGTGCGCCTCTGCTTCAACTCCAAAATAATTTTTATGCAACAAAAGATTAGCCATGTTATATCGTTTCTTATAGTGCTGTCCAGCGCCATCTGTAACATAGATCAATTTGTTTACGACAGCACAGACTTGTTTTATGTGTCGTATCAGAATTTGTTGTATTAAATGATTTGCAGTAGTATCGTGAACGAGACTGTCAGATGAGAGGACTAGACTTCTATGTCGAATATTATTGCCATGGTGATAATAATATACCACAGGATGGACAGTGCATTGATCATTGTTGTAATGGAACGATTGAGCACCGTGTTGAGCGACGAAAGAATAATTCTCCGAAAAATCAGCCTGCACTACAATTTCACCCTCAATCAAATCCCCCTTTCGTTCTTTCACGAACGCATTTTGTTGTATGGCAATACAATAATGAGATTTCAATACTTTCAATCTCTCACAAAGTACATCAACAAATTCATACACTGGAAGTCTCTGGGTCTGTAATGTTGTTCTATCCACAGATTGCCAAGTCCTGAATTCTACAGTTTCAATCACAGCATCGTGGAGGAGTTCTTTCAGCTTGAGTGATAATCCTTCAACTCCAGGACAGTTTTCCGGACCCCAGAAAAATTGAGTAATATCATCATCCATCGCAGAAAAAAAAATTATTCGATTTTCGAATGGCCCCTGCGAAATAGAGCGATTAAAATAACGAAAAACTTAAAAAATGGCTTAGTATTTATCCTCGTAGCACTGTTGTATTTTTAGTCTCGAAGTACATAATAAAACGAAAAAAAAATTTTTTTATTTATTAAAATCGGCCAATTTGTTCGCAAGATATGATTTTTCAAAAATTCGAGCTTTTGTTTTTGTCCTGGCCAAACAATTAATGTTAAAGGAGCGAAAATTTAGAGAAAGTATGTACTCATGTAGTATTTGACTGGGAGCATGCTAATTCAGGATTCTGAGA